CACAACATGATGACTTTGTTGATGTCCTGAATGTGAATGTATTTTGAATTGAATTTGTCTGCCAGGATTCCATTACTAGCTAAAAGAATACAGAGTTCAATCATCAGATAATCATTATAGCTGTTTTGAAGTGTTTATTTTATTAGTCTAGAAGGTAAAGCAAATTTCATACTTTTAAGTTGTTGGAGGCTTTGCGGGTGCCCTGATAAGCTCTTGTATTTCTATACCCCATGGTTAGGGTTCAGGTACTGGCAGCAGGTGATAATATGCACAACACAGAAGAGATCCAAACTGACAAATTTTGACAGTTGAAAACTAAAGAAACTAATATATTCCCATAAATATGAGTTGGGCCTTTTTTTCCCCCTCCTGTAGCTTTTTTCTTTTAATTCCCAAAAGATAATTTTTCAGGTCTGGGAGACTGCAGAATATTTTTCTTCTAAGCAAATCAAAACCTCAGAGCATCTTGTGTTTTAAATCATGTCCACATCCAAGGGTTATTTTCTCATATAGATGCACACGTGTAATTCTTGGTAACTTTAACACAGGAATTGTCTATTCAGTTTAGGGAGCTGTAAAAGACTTTTTCTCACCCGAAGCAAGATGGAGGTTGCCGTATTCATTCAGGCATGAAATCCTGGCTGAGAGATTAAGCCTCTTACACAGATCCCAGTGCCGTTAAATGCCAGCGAGGACTGTGTAAGCCACATCTTCAAGTGGAGGAGAGCTTCCCTTTGTTAGCTGTTCAAAATTAGGAATGTAAACAGCTCTCACGGCATAATTAGTCTGTGTTTGAATTGGGAGAAAGTGACAAAAATAATGGCACGGCGTAGCTCCTGGAGATGTCACAGAGCAGGATCTTGCAGCCTAACAAGGCTGTGACTGCTCTGCTGGGAGGCAAATTTGGTTCATAGAGCAGAAGTCACACAAGAGAAGCCCCATTGCATGGGGTCACTAACAGCTCTTTGAAAAAATCCTCTTGTTTACAGGAGGAATGGCATTTCTTGAAGTTTCATTGTGAAATCTGCAATTCGTCGTCATTCTACAAAGTCCTCCAGAAACCCAAGTTCACTGTCAGCAGAAAACCATGGCTACTGTGGTGTGAAAGTCTTCATCAATTGATCTTTTTCCCATTCCTCACTTCTAAATGATGGCTTCAGTGAACCCATGGCTTGATTCCCTTGTAATCCATTGCTGCCATCTTTGACAGTGACTCATGTAAAGCTGTTTCTAGCCATACACGAGGCTGTTTGTCCCTGTCACTGTCTTGCTAAGCAGGTTTCTGTGGAAATTAAATAAATAAGATCTCTACCACTGGTGCTAATTGGTGCCTTTGGCAGCCTGAGCAAGGGCTTGTGAATTGAATGTGTCATGGAGAATTGAATGTGTCAACTCTCTCCCAATGGCTGGGACCTTGAGGTCTTTCTCTGGCACTAAATTTCCTTTGAAAAAAAGAAAAAAGGGGAAGGAGGGGAGGGGGGGAAGAGAGAGAGTGAAAACAAGCTGAAGTAAGAGATCTTTTCCCTTTTTTTAATGAGGTGTTGAAGTTGAGCATTGTAGTGTCCACACTGCGTTTGCTCATCAGATGCCTTGAGAAGTAGGGCTGTTTTCTGCTGTTGTTTCTCAGGCATCCCATTTGTTGCCATTAAACGCCTTGCAGCATGGAGTGGCAGGTTTTATTCAGTCTGTTCAAGCATCTGGCAGGATAGCCATGAAGTTGTTGCCGATGTCCTTAAGGGACTGTAGGGATCTGCATGATTCATTCAGCATTTTTTTCAAGGTACAAAGAAGAAATGCCTTACGCTGTAGTAAATACTGTTCCAAGTAGAGCACAACCAGCTTAGCAGAGCGTGGGAGATTTGCTGCTCTGGAGGCACTGACTGGCAGCATGAGCTCCTCTGCCTGTGGGCAAGAATACACTAACCCATGTGGAGTTAAACTGGGCTGTATTTCAGGCTGTTGAGGACAGGCAGAACCATGTCCACAAACCAATTCACCTTTTAAGTTGTCCTGACTAGGAGGGGAGAAGGTTATCACTGCCAGGCTCTGAGTTATTTGGATGTCAGAAAAGTCTAGTTGTGGTTCAAGCTGCTGTGGAGTTTGTTGGTGATGAAACAAAGATTATATGTGCATGGGGCCTGAAGGTGAGGGTTGTGTTTTTTAATTTTCTTTCAGTAGTAAACATACTTTTTTAGGTTGTAGCCTCTTTGCCTTTCAGCAGGGGACAGCTACCAGTCCTAAAGCACAGATTAGCCCTGTCCTATTACATAGTCATCTTCCCCTCCAATATTCCTGCAGAAAAAAAATGAATTAGGTATTTTTTTCTATGTACTAACCCAAAAGGATTTTACACTGGAGGCATCTTCAATGCAGTTTGTATAACATGGCTGCAGCACCTCTGGAAAATCCATAGGCTGAGTTACAGCATTTCCTTGGGGAAGCTCAGACTACTGCATTTTCTGTTCCTCTCTGTTGTCTATTTTCTGTTTTGAGTCCAGCCCTGACTTCTCTAGCAGATACCTCCAAATTCAGGTGGCCACGAGTAGGTGTCCATGCCCCCCTCAAACCACAGCAAACCAGCTCTTGTTGTAGAATTTGTTTTATTTAAGAAGATATGAGCCAAATGTGTCCTGAGAAAAATTTTATCTATATGCATTTTCAGATGTGTCAGTCTTTGAGCTTAGAAGTCTCTATTTTTGTCAAGGTCCGATGACCTGCCTGAAACATCTGCACGTTTCCCATTAAGCTACTGTTTCTTCCGGCTCTCTTTCACAGAAACATTTTTCTCTCCTGAGCTTTTACTTCCCAAAAATGACCAGTTAAAGGGTATTTCACAGCATATTCATCTTTCAAGTGCAGTTCTTTCAAGTAGTGCCAAGAATGATAAACCAATAGATTTCAAATTCCTCTTTATCGGAATGAACCCACGGAGCTGAAATCTAAAATGAAACTCTTTGGGCCCATGGAAAAGGACATGGCAATTGCAAAGTTGTGATTACAGCTTGATATTTTCCCCCCTGAAACCTCTCCCCTGGTTAAAAGATCCTACATTAAAAGGCTAATAAACAAACAAAAAACAATAGAAGATAGACTTGGAGCTGGCTGACAGGATAGAAAAATATTACAATATTGTCTCAAAATCACATCATTAAATGTCACAAACTTGGAATTTTTTTTTTATCATTTTCATCTGGAGTAAAATAATTCAGATTTTCTGAATTTTCCAGTGAAACAGAAGGTTTACAAACACTGACAGGAAACACAAACCTTGGCAGGCTGTGCCTGCGAACAGTGTTCCGCTTACTGAAATAATTATTAAACCATCTCCATTGTAAAGTGTGAAATTTTAAAGAACCTGTTGGCAATATGAAAAATGTTTCTCTCAGCTCTGTTAAGTCCGATTACCTGCCTGCCCATGTTTAGCTGTGCCTGCAAGTGATTTTGTATATTGGGGACAAACTTGCTGTGTTCCAGCTGGGAATACATGGTCACCTTTGCTTGTTTCCGAGGTAATGGTTATCACTGGCCTGGCTGCAGAGCCAGAGGGAGCATTCCCAATGCCATGCACAGATTGAGCCAAGCAAGGGGCAGTGGAGGAGGTGTTCTGGATTCAGCCTTTCCTTCCAAAGTGGGCCACCTCCACGTGGTCACTTCCAGTGTTTGCTGTGTGCTGCTGTGCACACCTTCTCCTTGTGTCCTTTGCCATTACGAGGATGCTGCAGGGTTGAACACAAGCAGGTGGGCTGGGATGTTTCACCTTGGCCAGAATTAGAGAGCTGATACAGGCATCATCTTTGCTCACTGCCTGAAGCAGAGATTATTTTATCTGTGTCATGCTCCAAGGGAGCACCAAGGCTCCTGTGCCGAGGTTTCTTTTATTTACTGATTGGTTTTGACATTTCTCTGGAGTTGTAACAAATCTCTGGCTGTGATTAAGAGAACAGGATTGTTTTCTGATTCATCAGTAAGACCTGCATCATCCTGTTTCATGTGAAGTAGGTTTTTGTTTCAGGAGCCACTTCTGCCCCACAACCAGCATTGCCCAGAATGTTTTCCCTCTCCCCATAGCAGTTGGGTCACCAAACACCCCATCTGCAGCAAATCTGTCAAGGAGCAGGCTTCAATGCTGTGGGGCAGTACAGGCAAACCCTGGTCCTTGCTTTTTGTCCCTGCCTGTGACATTATAGCTCTTCCCTGAGGATCTGCCTGTGAGCCTTGACCTCACCCTGGGGCTGGTGTTGAGCTGCCTGGGTTGTGTGTGCTGCAGCAAAAGCTGCTTTACACGTTTGCAGTGGACAAAGTGACAGCAACCATGTTTGGTCCCACACACCACCTGGCTGGACCATGCTGTCAAAAGGGAAACCACGGGATTAAGGAAACTAAAACCACTTGCCTTACTGAAAATTTGGCAGATGCAGGGAGAGCAGAGCCTCCCTTAATGCTGTCAGCCATCAGCAGCCTCCACTATCCCAGCAGTGGTGAATTTTCCTGTAGCTTGTATTTCATTCTTGAAACTGAGATGAATGGTCCACCCCCAGTCTTGCCTGGTCTCAAAGAAATGGGGGAACCAACCTTAGCTCTTTTGTCTAAGGCCCTTTAAATAAGGTCCTGCTTTAGTCTGATTTTCTGCTTGGGATGTAACAATGAATTCCTGCTGCTTGAGCCTGCCATGTTGCTTATATTCAAAGTATAATGGGGAGCCTTCAGAAAAATATAACCTTATTTACGATGTACAAAGCCAATTGGATTTTGGTTAACAATTTCTAAGTGATTACAGTTCACTAACAATGCAGGTGTGCTATAGATGCAATGCACAGGGGGGGACTTTTTATTTTAAACCATACAAGCTTTCTTTTATTCATGTCATTCAGGCGCCTCAGGATAATTCACATTTCCAGCTTTCATAATGTGTTGTTCAACCAGTGTTTTTTCTCCCTCCCTATTGTACTCTCACAAATCATACTCACTAATTTCTGAAAGCTTTTCATTTCTCTCTATAGGTTGTTGTTTCGTAACATTTTATACAAGAAAAGCTGCTCTTGAGGCACAGAATGCACTGCACAATATTAAAACTTTACCTGGGGTGAGTACATTTACTTTTTGATCCTAATTATTTTATTGCCAGAAAAATAGCCCTTTTGCTCTCAGTGCTGCATGGTACCCCATATGACCTTGATCTCTGCAAGGAGGGTGGCTAAGCTGATGGCCTGTCCTGTGCTGGTGCCAGTCTTGTAGTAATGGCATCATGTCTAAAGGCAGTTGCTGTTATCTGGAAAGTCCCTTGGCTGGAAACAATACTGATTCCTGCTGACTAGAGACAGTGGCCAAAGTGCAATGTGGATCTTTATTAAAATTTATTTAAGGGGGAGGGAGGGAGAGAGGGGAGAAAACATATGGCAGAAAAACACTGCATCACTGGGGCTTCATGTTTGAAAAGGGAGAGAAGAAGAAAAGACAACACACGGCCAAATTTTGTTAAATGCAGCCTTTTTCCACATGGTTTCTAAAGAACCTGAATGCACTGGCTGCACATCTCAGGGTGCTGTGGAGTGTAATGCCACATAGCTGCTGCTCAGAGTCATCCTGTCTCCTGACATCACCTCTCCTCACCACCTGCTCCCACTGGCACCAGCATTCAGAATAGTTGTGATTGTGTTGTACAAACGGTGTCTTGCATTTTTCTATGGTATTTTATATTTAAATTACAGGGCTAGAGAGAAGTGTATCACTGGTAATTGCATGTCTTAACTCTGAAGTCTTCTTGTACCACCATTTTAATTTTTTCTGCTGAATACTTTGAGGATGGAAGAGAAAAAATATAAAGGATAGAGGTATATTCCCTCTTGATGTAGGAGAAGTGTTCAAGCATATGTTTGTAGTATCTGGTTACAGACATGAAAATAAATAAATACACTGTGTAAATAAATAGAACATTGCCTGGACTGACAGTTATATGGCCAATATCTCCTTTAGTTCCTATGTGCTGTGTGTGAAATTGGACACTCTGTGTTTGAAAAATTATATCTGGCCTGTTCACTTTATGCAAGTGATTTTCTATTAGGAAAGCCACCTCATGTGTCATGGAAATGACCAGCATAGAGAAGTGCTGTCATGGGACAGTTACCTGTGAGCCCTGCTGAAGGTAAAATGGGAGTCCTCTGTCAAATGCAATGAAAATGCTGGGAATGGTGGTGGGAAATCTGCAAAGGTAGGCCAGCCACAGGGAAACAGGAGATAAGTAGTGGCACTTCAAGTGATGTTTTCCAGCAACTGGCCCTTGCAAGGGACAGTGTCAAGACCTTACAAGCCTCCCAGTGGAGCCTCAGAGTTGAGGGTGTCGAGGATGGATGTGCCATCCTCGAGAGAGAAAGGAAGGCTCTGAAGGACAATTCCTTTGAGACCCCTTTGGAGCTCAGGCTGAATCTCAGCACCCTCTGGCTCTGCAACCTCAGTTTATGGTTCCCATCCACACTGCCAGAAAAGGCCAAGCCCTTGGATGGGAGCTCTCTAACCCCATTCAATGTTGCACCTAAACCAACTCACTGAGTGATTGCTCTCCATCATGCTTGGAGTCTGATGGCTTTGTGGACTGGCTGGGTAGGATGGAGGTGATCCCAAGCTGCTGGAGCCCTGCCCAGATAGAATCCCTCAAGCTCTACCACAAGATCTACTCATCACCCCCCTTAGAAGTAGGCAAGGTCTGTTTAGAATCATACAATCACAGAGTCATAAGGGTTGGAAAAGACCTCCAAGATCATGGAGTACAACTTTTGACCAAAACCCACCGTGTCAATTAAATCACAGCACTAAGTGCCACATCTAGTTGGTTTTTTGAACATTTCTAAGGATGATGACTCCACCACTTCCCTGGGCAGCCTGTTCTGATGCCTGACCACCCTTTCAGTGAAGAAGTTCATTCTGATGTCCAACCTGAGCCTCCCCTGGTGCAGCTTGAGGACATCTTCTCATCCTGTCACTGGTTTCCTGGGGGCAGAACCTGATCCCCACCCAGCTGCACCCTCCTATCAGGGAGTTGGAGGGAGGATAAGGTCACCCCAAGCCTCCTTTCCTCCAGGCTAAACAAACCCAGCTCCCTCAGCTGCTTTTAGTTTTCTCTTTTCCTCCCTGAGTCCCCCAAGCTGCTTGCTGTGTTTTGAGAGATCTTATTTATCCCAGTGGGTGGCTTGGCGGGACAGATTCCCTCTCTGACTTTCCCATGTACAAGTGGCAAAGCTGGCTCAGCTCTGCATTGCATTTTACTTGAGCAGGGCATCATTTTACCCTGATTTTTGCACAGCTAATGAGCAGGCAACAGTTAAAGACACTAGGGTACCTTTTGATGTTTTTAAAATAAGGTTCAAAAATATATTTTTTTTTCTAAAGCTCTCTCTAGCTCTTTGTCATTTAAAATTTATCTTTCCAAGCTGTTTTTTCCTGTCCTGTGAGGTTACAAAGTTTTCTTTTAAGGAATTGTGGAAATTGCATTCCCATGACTCTGGGGCCTTGGCTTTAAAAATAGTCCTGATACAGCCAGAGATATTTAGATTTTGCTATGAGATAAGTTGTTATATCTACTTTTTTAAAGGGAAGCCTTTAATAAAGAGAAGCAACTTGAATACATTTCTACTACTTGTCTTTCAGAATGATTCAGCATATCTTCTATAAGAGATTCTATATTTTGCACGTGCAGTGTGCTGACATTCAGCATATATGGGGATACTGTTATGCTGCATCTGTGTATTCCCAAAATAACTTCATTTAAGCACGCTTTAAAGTTGTGGCACACGTGCTGGAAATGCTTCACGTTAGCAGGGTTCTCCTTACATGAATTGTAGCAATTTCTGTATTGTTCCTCTTGCCTGCTAAGCAGCTTTTACCAAATAAGCAGGAATCAGTAGTGGGTAGTTCCATGTGTGAAATAGTCTCAGGCAAATGGAAGCAATCTTTTGTCAGAGCTACAACAAGGGATGAATTTGGATCAGGTTCGTTTGGGCATCAAGTGTCAGCTTGCTTCCAGTCAGCAAGGTATGGTCAGGAGGGGGTTCAGTACTAAGGTGTCTCCTGGAAATAAAAGAATCCATGTCTTCTCCTTTTGCTGTAATACTCCCATGCACCCTTAAACAGCCCAGGAGGAAAATCCGAGGCAAAGGCAGGAGATCTGTTAATGTGAGGTAAGGAAAGCTGTCAGAGGCTGGAGCAGGGGGCTGTGGCTGTTGGAACTCGTCTGTGTCTTACCTGCACTCAGGTGTAACTCAGGTGTAACCTGCACTGCTGCAGAGGTGTGGAGGAGAATAGCTCCATGTTCATTATTGATGGAGCCCAGATTATTTCTGGGTTTAGTCTCTTCATTTCTTAAGTGCAGACTTGCTCCATGTAGCTCGGTAAGCAGGTTTTGGGTCAGCATTATTGAAGCCAAAAAAGTGGGGGGTTAGTGTGAAATTTATCCCCCTTCCAAGGCTGCATGTTCAGTTTAATTTAAGTAGGTTTTTGAGCAAAGCCTGCAGTGCTATGTCTCTATCTCTGCTTTTTGCCTAGACCTCATCCTTAAAAGAGATGAAAACACCAGCTCTTGATGTGCTCCTTTGAGCTGCACCCTTTTAGTGGACATGAAGAAAATAAGACCAGACATAAATGATTAATGCAGAATCTTGGAAGAAAATATTGCAGGGTGCCTTGCTGTTTGATTACAAGCCTTGGAATTAGTCAACATTTCCATAATTCTAAACCAATATACACCTGTTTTCCCACTGTGATGTGAAGGCACAACTTAATTTAACAGAAACCCCGCTGTGCTAAATCTCTCATTAAATACCAAGCTAGTTCTGTAATTTAAAGTTGCAGCACTACTATTTTAACTGAATTGCCTTTGTATTATAAAATTAATAAGAAGTTAATGATGCACTTTGCTATATTCTCTCAGATTTTTTTTTCATAGCAACAACAACAAAAAAAGAAAGATAAAGAAGAAAAACATGTCACCAGCTGACATCTCAAGGCTTTTCTGGTTTTAATCATTTTCCTGAGGATAGAAATTCATTTAAAATATTTTTTTTTAAATTTAAAACTTTCTGCACAAGTAGGATCAAACATCATCTTTTTATTCATGATTAATATAATCTCTCTGTTAGTCATAATATTCCTTGTCATATATTGGAGCTTTTATCTTTCCCAAAATACATATTTAGATATCACTTGTTATGTACGATTGCTACTAGGCAGAGAAGCAAATATGCAGTGTTTGAGAAATACAGGCATATTGTTATGCTATATGATACAGATCAACAAAACAGGGACAGTTCTCTTCTGTTTACTTGGTGCTGGCATCACAAGTAGCTTTTATGTCTTGCAAAGGAACAACATGAATTTTCAGATGTGTCTTTTCAAACATAGCATGAGAGCAGGTTGCTGATACCCTCATAGCTCATAGGGATGTGGTTTATATTATTCAGCTTAGAGTCAGGTTTTCTTGGAGTGTTCATTTGGATTTTGTTTTAAAAGGCAGAAGGGAGAAAAGGGAAAACCTCAATTTGAATGTAATAATGATCTTAGAAATGGGTTTCTTAGGGATGAGATGTAGAACTGAGGCCTTAACTAGTCTCATCTTCATTAAGAATCTCATGGCTTCGTTAGAGGTGTTTAACTTCTATTCCCTAAACAGAGTAATCCAATAAATTCCACCCATCTAAATTTATTCTGTACCTTCAGTTAGATGTAATAATCTTGGTTCCCCTATGCTCTAATTTGCTGCTTAGTGAAAATTGGCTTCTGTATAGAGGGCAAACCTCAAAGAGCTGTATTCAGGGACTGCTTTAACTGCCTTCATGGCACTGACATTTGTTCTTTGTTTTAGTTTTAACATGCTTTATTTTAAAAACAGAAGTGCTCTATTTTGCTGACAAATGAACCTGGTAGGATTTCCTGGCAAGGGTTAAGTGCAGATAGGTAACACAAGAGCACTATATGTTGGTTGGATTCTTGGAGGCAAAGAGCTGAATAAATGCACCTTTAATGTCATGCAGAGGCTATTTGAAGTCAGAAATCAATGGACATCCATTTGTAAAATCTACGCCTAAAACTCTTTGG